AGTGTATAGAAAAGTTTATAAACGAGGTGCATACTATACTTTTTCTACGACAAATACTTATTATTATCTTAAAATGATTTAAATCAAAAATTTGTATAGAGCGCCATCTATGAAACAATAGGGGAATCTGTGTGTCACCGTCAAATGTCAAGTTTTTACATTTTATAAACACAATTATAAAGGTTATAAATCGAAATGTATTTCTTGAAAATTGACAGTTTTTCACAGTGAAAGTAAAGAAAATGTTTTATGAGCACTTTACAGAAGAGTCCGTGCCCGAATTTAAGTTATAGTTTACTGCCGGCGAAATTAAAAGGTCAGTACAATGTTCATATAAACTTTTCAAATATTGGCGTTGAGAAACTATTTAATACTTTTGTATTTTTGTATTGAGATAATAAATTAATTTTCACATTTAGTATTATTTTACAAGAAAGGCAATTTATTTTAACGATTGTATGACATTTAACAACTGTCAACTAACTTAAAACTAACTTCAACCCGTGACTAAAGCGCCATAAAGCCACAACTTGTCAATGTATATTTAAAAGGTCACTTAGTGTCATGGAAACATGTACGGGAGTTTTAAAGGTCGGTAACGACTGATATAAATTATATCAATCGATTTACATTTTAGATGATTTTATTTGCCAAAAAATAAATCTAGTAAACCATGACTTATATTAGCGAAACTATTTTCTATGGTTAAAAGCAAATGTCAAATAAATCTTGGTAATTTAATTTTCAATCGTTCTATAATTTAAACGTTATTGTTATAAACACTCGATACTAAAGTGCCTAGGCACTTAAAAATATTTAGACCAATCGGGTTAGGGTTTTTCCAGCCTATGGAGTAAAAATCCATTATTTACTACTTTAAACCAATTAAAAAATTTGATTTTTGTCAGATTTTATTGTGCATTTGCACTTTTTTCAACCGCATATTTGAAACTTAATTACATCCTATTCAAGGTTTATATACAATAACAAATCGAATTAAAATTGATTTATTTTTTTAATCAAAACTTCATTTATCCTGCAAAATCCACAAAAAATTCCTTTGAAGACATGCTCCTCATTGTTTCGTAGCACAAAGGTTTGTTGCAAGATAATACATAATATATTTTATTTATGCAATCACTAACTTTTGTTTCCAGGATAACACAAGCTTTGCCTTACGACATCTATCCTTAAATAGAATATAAATTCAACATTAAGGACCTTTATATAGAACACTGTTTGTAACGACATCTATAGAGGGGTAGAATTTAATCCTTAAATACTTTCAGGATATCTTTAAAAGGTAGATTTGTGATTTCAATACAACATATAAAAATATAATGCAACCGAAGTTAATTTTTAGGGTTATCCTTATTGCATTGCAAAATTATGTAATATGTATTTATTATTTAGTAAGAATAATAAAGTAAATATTGGTTTGTTGAACATTAAAGGAATTCAAGAATTAGGAATACAATAAGTGAAAAATTTGAAACAATAATTGTTCAGCCACTCAGTGGTTTATTGAAATTCAAGCACAATAAATATTTTACTTCCTATATTTTTTTTTGTTTTATTATGAGCAGGTCGACAGCGGTTTTTGTTGAGTCTACAAATTATTTTCAACTACGTAAATTGTATTAAAGTTGAAAAAACTCAAAATACAAACCTTTTTAAATAAAATAGGCAAACAGCTGCCTAATATAGTTTATAAACATATCACTGGCAAAATTTAATGGGTTGCTAAGTAATAGGGCATGTTATTTGTCATGTCATATGCAAGTTAACACCTGGTATTCTTCTAAATAAATTAGAATCATTGAATACAAACAATGGGTACCTAGTAGTGCGTCCTATTTATGTCCCCTTATGTCTTCGTATATTTCAAAAATGTTTTATGTTCCTGATAGCACACTTTATTCTAAGAATGTTTTTTAAACCTTCCAGTGAGAATATTTTTAGGATCATGCTATATGTCTTCTAAAGAACATGCTTAAAAGACATATAGCATGATCCTAAGAATATTCAGGTTCTTAGAAGGTGCAAAGTTTTAGTGGTAAAAATTAGTCTACTCTAAACATATGCTTAGAATGTTAAGAAAGTAATTGCTATAGAAAGTTCATTTAGGAATATTCCTGTTAAGCATATTTAGTTCAGTTACCTATATAATAGTAAAATATAACATAAACTACGTACTTAAGTACCTAATTAGTAATTAGTATTAAATACTAAGTAGAAAACACAATCCAAAATATTTTTTTATAGTTATTTGTCAAATTAAAACAATATTCGATAACAAAAATACTTTTACTATAGGTATTTTATTTTATGTTAAAAATAATTATTTATTAATTTGTATACCGATTTTTTATTTCTGAATTAACATTTTTATGTATAATAATCCTAACTATCTTCAACTTCAATCTAAACTGACTTATCCCACAAAATTTTCCAATTTTACTTTTTATCAAATAATGTCATACAACTTATGGTTTAGAGGTCAAATTGTTTATTTAATATTTTTAAATAAATATATATTAATATGTCGCAAAATTTTTTAAGGGGAAGACAAATACATTTCACAGTTATATTATGACAGTGAGGCGTATTTGTCGTCTCCTGAAGAATTTTACGAATGTAGAATACAACATATTAGAACGTGGGTATCTGACATATTTGGAAATATTCTCAAAAGTTTCCTAGAAGCTCCATAAGAAACCTTCTAAGAACATTCCAAAAACGTATTCTTAAAATGTTCTTAGGGTGCTTTTTAGGAAGGTTTTAAGAACCTTTTAAGAATCTAATTGCATCATTAAAAGGGTATCTATTGAATGTTTTAAAAAACTTTTTTTAGTACTCGTGGTCAGCTCTGGTAGTAGGGTACCTACCGTTTAATGAAAAATTTATTGGTTTTATGAAACTGGTACATCAATACAACGAACACACTTCATATTTGATATCATATTCCTTATATTGATGAAATCATTCATTAATATGATGTAACATAATCGTTGAGTGTTCATTAATACAATGTTTTAACTTTTTCATCGATAATTAATGAATTGATTCAATGAAAAAAAATCATTATTTTGATGAAAATTGTATTGCGGTGATTACCATTTTACATTCATTTAATGAAGTGACATTCATTATCTGGATGAATATGAATACATAATATTGATGAAAGGTAATATTGATTTATGAATAGCATTTTATTACCTTACTGAAAAAGTTTATTTTGAGCAATGAAATATCAGTTCATTCATATTATAAACAATATTTTTTTCAGTGGAGCTAGTGCTTATCCAGTTGACATCCTAAAGCTTTGTTGAGTTTTTCAAAATTAGCAAATACTGTTTGTATAACTTTTAAATTTTTAAAATGTTCGTCTTGTCAATGTTTTCTATAAGTCACTGACTGCTTTTTTATCAGTAATATTGTTTACAAAACACTTGTTTAGTCAACAAATTGTTTATAACAACCTGAAAAATTGACGTCATTAAATTTTGAACAATGACAGATTACGTGGTAACCATAGATACCGTCAACTTACAGGTTTGTTGATTATAAATAATATTTAAAATTATGTATTGTATTGTATTTGTAATTGACGCGCATTTCTCATATATATAGGACATATAGGACATGGTATAGTAATTTTACTCAGAATTTTATACAGAATTTAAAAATTTAAAAATATATGGGGTGTTCTATTTAAAATATTTTAGAAAAATAAACTTAAATTATAAACGCTTTTAAAATTTCAAATCTGTATCTTTTTTCTTTCCCCAGCAAGTGGACCACAAATGTGAAACACCCTGTATATGTACAACTTTTAAATATAATATAATTTTACATACACTTATATTTCTAAATACAGGTAGTAAAAAATCGATAGTTTTTGATATATAGTCATTTTTAGGAATTTTGTAAAACTTGACACCTTAGATCAGTTTTTCGAGTGCCACAGCTACAAAATCTACTATTAATTTAATTTTGAATTGTAATTAATAGCAGTCCTATTCAGGGTTACGCAAAATAAAATATAATCTAAGAATATAGAATGTTGTAGTTGTGGCACTAGAAAAACTGATTTTATGTGTCAAGTTTTACAAAATTCATAAAAATGCCAATATCTTAAAAACTAATGATTTTTTACTCATGTTTTGATATTCTGATTAGTCATTAGTCCTTCAAAGGATATCGTTGCCTTTTGGGACACCCTGTATAAATTAGAGGTACCTAATATTTTCTGGGAAGGGTATGGAAATTTGCATTTAGTTTAAATTTAAGAAGGGTAATAAACAGAGGTATAAATGTTAAAGCTTAAAGGTATTGTTTTGGTTTTTAGGTGGTGGTAAGCAGGTCACCCCGTAGTAGCCGATAGAGACGGAGCAGTCAGTTGCAGATCAGAATGCATCGTAGCATGGCGATTAAGGAATAATAATAATATTGAGAGCGAAGCGTAGAGCGTGTATAGCGTTTGCAAGGAGCAGTGGAGTAGAGTGCGGGCAGCGAAACTGAAGAGAGTAAAGCAAAGTAGACGGGGGAGAGTTCGGTTAGGTTTCGGTGTAGAGGCGCAGCACGAGGGAACGGTAGGGACGCGCGCAGAACCACCTGGCGTCGCCCGCTCCCCCATTCAATTCAGTATCGACCGGCTGCAAGTAACAATTTCAGCGAGGATACAAATCGAAATCGGGTCCAATAACAAAGTCGCTAGGAGTACGGGGTCGAAGAATCGAAGCGAGCATGCGATGCGGTGTCATCAGTGAGCATGTTTTCTCATAGTGCCCGAGTCCATGGAGTTTTTAGATGTTGTGAGGCATCAGTGTGCACGATGGGACGGTCTAGGCCGTCGTAAACACAGTGCACTTCGAGTATAGCTGTTGTCATTCGCTAGCGAGCGAATTAGTGTGTTTTGTGTAAAGTGTCATCGCGAAATAACTGGATAAGTGGATCCCTGCGGGAGGTTGTGATGAGCGTGCTGAGAGGATTTGCCGATGGTGAGCGACGTTGGAGCCACTCCAGCGAGTGACTGGCTCTCCGCAGAGTCCGTCATGATGGATAATATTGGTAAGATGATCGAACAACAAGCACTTGGTGAACAAGCGGTCGATTCTCCCAACAATAGTGCGCATGCGGTGACAGCCGGTGGCATGGAGACGCAAGTCGTCCGTATGAGGCTTGTGTCGCGTGCCGTGGTGGAGCGTCGTTTGGTTAAACAGGAGGATGCTGATGGACAACTTTCCGTCATTGTCCAGCCACAAGAAGACTCCAGAGACTCGGAACTGCTTAGTCCTGGAAAGCTGTCGCCGACCTCCGTCTCAGTGGCCAACATGATAGACGCCGCGGACTTTCGAACGATGAATCCTGAACCTACCTACCAGACGTTAACCTCAGTGAACGGCAGGATGTCTCCTCCAGGATATTCTCCCAGTTCCTCCTACGCCACTTTAACTCCTCTGCAACCTCTGCCACCAATTTCCACCATGTCGGATAAGTTCGCGTACGGACATGCTAGCAATGTGACAGGTTCTTTCACCGTCATGCAAAACAATACTCTTGGTATCGGTCTGGGTCTTGGTGTTAATTCGAATACCTCTTACACGATGACGAACATGGGGATGACTCCGCCGCACAACTATTCCTCGCCGGGAATGGGAATGCAACAACAAGCCAGCCCCATTAGTCCGCAAAGTGCGTATAGTCAAAATGGACTGCCCTCTCCGCAGAAAAGCATGTCTCCGCCAAGTTACGACTCCCCCTACGGCCAGCAGAGAGACCTGGTAGCCAGGTCGCTCCACAGCCCTCAGTTAAGCCCTCCCTCAGCCTCTCTGAACTCTCCGGACGGTACGTTGGTGACAAGTTTTAGTGGTACCACCTTAAACGGTCTCGGACTACAAAATCACCCGCCCACACTAGTGCAGATAGCACCATCGCAAAGAGATTGTTCGCCTTCGCCTCCCGTTGTTACATTACAACAAGGTCCGCCCGTGTCTCAGCACCAACAACAATCACAACAACAAAATGCAAACATGCAACAAATCTCTACGAAAAATTCTAGTCCCGGTTCTCTGACGGTGCCCGCGATAGCAGCTGACGTCGAGGAGATCAACACCAAAGAGCTTGCCCAAAGAATCAGCGCTGAACTGAAACGATACAGCATTCCTCAGGCCATATTCGCCCAACGAGTACTGTGCCGATCGCAAGGTACCTTATCGGATCTCCTGCGAAATCCCAAACCCTGGTCGAAATTGAAATCTGGACGGGAAACGTTTCGGAGGATGTGGAAATGGCTTCAAGAACCCGAGTTCCAGAGGATGTCAGCATTACGATTAGCAGGTCAGTTCATTAATTAATTAGTTACCCATTGGACAATTATTCTACAACTACTACTGTAGAAATATAAGATATGTGTATGGGAAGCCTTACAAAACTTTGAGGGTTAGTTATATAAAGTAAATAAATTACAGTTGCTGTTAAACAAAACAATTTGAAGGCTTCACTTCTTAAATTAAAATCGATACCAACTATAACTTTTCTGAAATAACATGTTAATTTTGAGGCTGTCACATGTACATCAGGAAGTGACAGGGTTTAAAAACCTTTTAAACTTTCTCCCCTTTTTACCCACATAATAGGGATGCCATATTTTTTAACGAACTACAACTTTGTTTACTTAAATTCGATATATACCTGACATTTATTTGTCTATAATATTTCGTCAGGTAAACTTTTTATTTTGATTTATTTTATTACTCAACAGTTTTATCCTTCAGGGATTCTAGACCATGATTATGCAGATACGTTACCAGCAATGGAAGGTAAAATATTACAAGAAAAATAGTAACTAATTCAACTAATCTAACAACTAAACAAATGGTGCGCTGGTCTAATAATATTATTATTTCCATTCGGATTATCAGTTTTATTTGGCCCGAGGAAATAATTTTAAAAATTGGTGGCGGAGTATTATTACACTAAATAACTAAATTATTAACCATAATAACAGCATGTAAAAGTTATTAACAGACGATAATATATAAATGGACTTTTTTATCTAATCATTCGCACAGATGTAAAGGTAACCCCAGAAATATATTAAAGTCAACGACCTTTTCCCTTTTTTCTGTGCCATAAGGTCACATTTAAACCGCTATAAAACTAAACTTTTAAGCATATTATTTTTAACATAAAAACTGTTACCAAATTAAATACAACTAATTAATTTACATGCTTCGGTATAGGGTAAAGTTTGTTCGGGTTTTCTCATTCTGGCGACAAAAGCTTTTCCCCCACTGAGTTAAAAGTAAGGAAAAATCGATAAATAGCTGATGATTCACCTTACCACCACGCGGACGATATTCCAGTTCTCATGAAATATTCCTGTTACAAGCTACAAGAAAATTATTCAAGTTTATAACTAAGCAATATTTGCCCTATATAAAGGGTACTACCTACAGTAGGTACCTAGCATTATTTATGGCATTATGTTTTAACAAAAGGGACAAAACTCAGTTGTATAATAAGGGTTAAGGTTTATTTATACAGGGTATATGCATAATTTACGATTTATTACGGTGCCTTATACACGGTTTTACAAAAATACCTCAAAATAATAATAAAAAGTATTTTAATTTAATTTAAATTATTTTTTTTTCGAAATGTATTATACGGGGTTTAACAAAAAGGCTTAGTTAATTATAATAGTTTTGCTTTACGAGTTTTCGTTTTTAAGTTCCAGGATGGTAATTAAACATTTTTAATAACAAAGACAATAGCTATTATTTTATTACATAAAACGTACAATTATAATAATAATTATTATTATAATATACTAAGTATATTATATTATTTTTGATTGGACTAAATTATTTTTACAGCCTAGGCGATTATCACTTTAATAGAGAGTGTTGACAATAATAAAGTTTAAATTATAGAACGCTAAGATAAAATATAGTTAATTATGCGTCTTACTTAACCCAGATAGGAAGAAAAAAAATTTATAATAAAAAGTCATCGAATTACTCCGGCAAAACGCTTTTTGACCATCTAAAAACTAATTAAAAAATAAATAATTTTTTAGATTAAAATATATGTAATAAGTCTTACTTAAATAATCGATTTTGATATATTTTTTGGACATTTTTTCAAAGCCTGCTAAGATCTGCTAAATGAGTCGAAAAAACATACTGAAAAAACATCATGACTTATTTTCGTATTATTATACGCTATCCATTTAAAAAAAATTGCCTAATGGTCGTTCTCTAGATTTCGACCCATTTAGCATTTAAAATGTTACCACATTGTCAAATAGACTACTATGTCATACTGGAACATTACCAACTAAAGCAATTGCTAATATTTAGTTTCCTTATCTTTTAGTATAATATTGTAACTCCCTGTAACTCTAAAACGTAAACACATAGATTAATAATAGTAGACTCCTACATTGAAGAGCTGTGACTTTATGGCGTTTTATTCACGGGCTGAAGTCAGCAATAGTGGCTTTTCGGCATTTTAGTCACGGGCTGAAGCTGTATTATAAATTAGGGAAAAGTGAGGTTAAATCCTTTTAAAGTTAACAGATGCTAAATGTTTAACAAATAAAATTGGCTTTAAATTCTTCTTTGTCTTCGTCGTAGATAATAGTATTAAAGAAATGTCATAAGACGTCATTTTGTCGCACGCGGACAGTTTATAAAACGAGCAACGAAGGAACAAGTTTTTTAATGGTTAAAAGGTCTTATGACATGAGTTGTTTATGCTATTTTATTTATTTTGCAAAAATTCTATAAAAAATAGTATATTATGTATCAAGTTTGATAAACGCCATTTTATACACGAATTTAATTTAGGCACGAGCGAGCTTGCGAGCGAGTGCTTAAATTAATGAGTGTATATAAAAGTTTATAAACGAGGTGCATACTATACTTTTTCTACGACAAATACTTATTATTATCTTAAAATGATTTAAATCAAAAATTGGTATAGAGCGCCATCTATGAAACAATAGAGAAAACTGTGTGTCACCGTCAAATGTCACATTTTTTTATTTTATAAACAATTATAAAGGCGTTGAGAAAATAAAATAATTTTCATATTTAGTATTATTTTACGAGAAAGGCACTTTATTTTAACGATTGTATGACATTTTAAAACTGTCAACTAACTTAAAACTAACTTTAGCCCGTGACTAAAAACCTGTTGCTAACTTCAGCCTGTGACTAAAGCGCCATAAAGCCACAACTTGTCAATGTGTATTTATTTAAAAGGTCACTTAGTGTCATGGAAACATGAACGATGAAGGGCGTTTTTAAGGTGGGAGTAGAAAAAATTAATTTTATACCTTAAATTTAATTTGACAGTTAATGTCAAAATCGATTCGCCATGCCGTCCTTAATTTACTTATTTACAATAGGCGGCTGTTAATGTTAAAGAAGTAAAAAAGGATTTTCTTTGGTGTTAAACAAAATTTGTTGCCAGAAAAGTCTCGTAAGTACTAGAAAAATCATAAAAATATTATAACCAATATGCAAAATATTATGCTGTTTAAAGTATAGCCTATAAAATCAAAATTTTGGGTGGGATAAAGTATCTCATTACAGCACAGAAATGAAGTCATTATGAACGCAAAATAGATGAAGTATAGTAAACACAACTCGTTTTGTAGACTTCTCGTTTTTATTAATTACTCGCTCGCAAGCTTCGCTCGTAACTAAAGTGGCATTTATAAAACTTATACATAATATACTATTTTTTACGAATGGGAACCATGGAAAATTGCTTGTGCCCAAAATGGAACTTTTATTAAATTTATTTGAAGGACTGATTTTCGTGGAAATTATAGTCATATATGTATATATATATAAATTATATACTGAGTATCCCAAAAAACGCAATACCACGCAATTTTAAGTATACCTAATATTTTTCTGGTTTAGTTTTCGAGTACTTAAGCACTAACAAAAAAAAACTTGGCAACGCTGTGTCTCTAATAAGCTGAACACATCTTAAAAAAGTGTTGATGGAAAAAATTGAAATAACAGCTGAGGTAATATTTCAGAGAAAAAACGGTGCCAAATTTTAAACTTTGTATCAAAAAAGCAAACTTTTGTTAATAATTTTCAATGGTATAATTCGTTTACCGCAGTACTTTTGCAGCACGCTGTAGAAAACATGAGAGTGGTCAATTGCCTAATAAGTGAACCCAAAAAAACTCGAGGCAGATAGATTAGATTGTTTCTTTTCTTTTTGAGAAGTGCTTTTCTTCTTCTAGCGAAGAAAAATGTTATTCGGGTAGAATGTGTAGATTTTTGACGTTGTTGACTTCTCTCTTGTTTCATTGCAGACTGCCAGACGCGCAATGTAAACGTGAGGGCAGTCAACCCCAAAAGAAGAAAACCACCTTCACCTTCTTGCTTGTGAGTTCTTAACTGTCTGTCTCGATGTTCGCGAATATATATGTTGTGCATGATCGTTAGAACAAAAAAATCTTCCTGTTATGTTTATGCATGTTGTGTCAAACAATGTTTCAAAGTCACGTCACGTTTTTCATTCAAAAAATGACTAGAAAAATTTGTTTGGCATAAGGGACTATGCTCAATTGTTTATAGAACTAGAGGCTTAATGTTGTATGTTCATCCATCTTTACAGGGTGTTTCATTAGATACACTTTACACTTCTCCAATCTAATAAAATTATTTAATTTTTTTGAAAACGCCTGTTGTCATTGTATTATAAATTATCTTGACTAAATATCACAAATATTATAGTCCTGAAAATGAAGCATCACTACCATATTACGCAATAGTATATTAAAAAACTAATGTCATAAGACGTCATTTTGTCGCACGTAATGGACGAGTGCGACAAAAGGTCTTATGACATGAGTTCTTTATTAGGGTGGGTCAAAAAAACCGACTATTTTTTTTTTACTTTGTACCCTGAAAAATCGGTTACTAGACACCTCTAGAGAATTCTCACCAAACATGAGCTCTTCATTTTGATAACAAGGTCGTCCGCTTTACAATTTTCCATTTTTTCCTCAGTATTAGAAACAAAAATTCATATCTCTTCGAGAACTGTTCGTTAAAAAATATCTCTCCTCATATTCTTGTAGGAAATCGAACGCTCTACAAAAAAGGTATCTTACAATTTTTTCGTAAACCTCACCGTTAAAAAGACATCGAAGGTTAAAGTTTAATTATTTTAAGAGAAATTTCTGTTTTGCTTATGAATTTTATAACTCGCTCTACAAAAATGGTCTCTTATGATTTGTCGCTTAAATTAAGCGTTTAAAAGATATTCATCGTCAAACTTCAATGCATACTAATTTTAACAGTTTTTGATGAATAATTCGAAAAATTTCAATTTAATTTTTGAGTTTTACGAAAATTTATATATATATATATAACCTTGTTATCAAAATTAAGAGCTCATGTTTGGTGAGAATTCTCTAGAGGTGTCTAGTAACCGATTTTTCAGAGTACAAAGTAAAAAAAAATAGTCGGTTTTTTTGACCCACCCTATTCTTTATGCTATTTCATCTACTTTGCAAAAATTCTTTGAAAAAAATTATATTATTATTTTATCAAATTTAACTTTAAATAGTTGGTATCACAGTCATTGGTTTGACAGTTAATGTTAAAATCGATTCGCCATGCCGTCCTTAATTTACCTATTCACAATAAGCGGTTGTTAATGTTAAAGAAGAAAAAAAGATTTTCTTCGGTGTTAAACAAAATTTATTGCCAGAAAAGTCTCGTAAGTACTAGAAAAATCACAAAAATTTTATAACCAATATGCAAAATATTATGATGTTTAAGATCAAAATTTTGAGTGGGATAAAGTATCTTATTACAGCACCGAAAGCGGTGCCATTATGAACGCAAAATATTTATTAACTTTTATACATAAATTTTTATTTATAAAATTGTTTTCCATTCTATTATATGAATAAATAGGCTTAAAAGATGAAAATAATAAAAAGAAAATTTAATATAAAAAAATTGCACATTTTTTAAAGTGAAAATAAGAAATTTCTCTCTACCAAAACATTCGTGTTTGAAAAAACAGCGTTAACGTTTTATAAAATAATATATTGATTAAACAATATTTATCCAATCATTCATAATTTATAAAATATTTTGTGTATTTAAGATATTCTCTCTCTCTGATATTGAGTTACGGGTCTGGCCTATCTGGCTGCAGAAATAAATTAAACTTAACAAGGAAAATCGATAAATTGAGCGTGGCCCCAAAACCTACTATACGCAATTATTTTTTCACGTAATCATTACGTAAATTTAAATTATTCGGAATAAGGGTTGAATTTTTTGCATTTTTAATATTTCTTATAACGAAACAATAAATAAAATATAAGACTTTATTATTCCATCAGAAAAGCACCGATAATTGTTTATTAAATAATAAAACACTATCGATTTCACTGCTACGAAAATAAAAAATGCACTTGGTAATTCGATATCAATGATATTCTTGCAGTAGTTAAAATTGTGGGAAAAATAGGCACATTATTGTACAGGGTGTTGGGAAATAAATGATAAAAAATCACCACGCTGAGACAAACATTTTTGGTCTTGGAGAATATTAATTTGGCTGTATTTCAATTCTCAGAACCGTACCTCGATGTCTGACATTTGCATTTAATATTTTAAAGAATTGTATCATTTACGCTATGATAAATTATATTTATATTTGCATGTTAACCTTTAACCTTTACGTGAATTTTAAATTTCAACGAACAAAATTATATTATATTATGGCGAATATTTTAAATAAAACAAAATTTTACACCCTGTGGATTTAAGCATAGCATGTCATCTAACATAAAAATTAACATTTTAAACCTTTGCTAACCAAATATTTCTTTGTTACAGCTGCCCAGATTCCTCAACGAGGCAGTAAGTATCAACTCTATGAAAACAAAAATAATTTAAAATTAAAATATGTTTTTTTAAATCGCCTTTTTGGAACAGATGTTCGTATTGTTAGGGGGACCTGTATATCACAAAGGTCACCTGTCCACGCACCCCTTATATATAACACAGCTGTATGTATGCAGTTAATTTACTTTATTTCTATTTTTAATAAAAAAAGTCAAACGTTGTTAAATCAGGTGATATTGCGGGCCATAAAATGTCACCGAATGTCTGTTCCAAGGGCGAGTTTAGGAGTGTCCCATCCTTTCGGATCGTTTTAATTGTTTATTTATTTTTTTTGGTACTGATGTCTTCACAGGTTGCAAGAGGAAAGAGGACCCTACGACCAATACGGAGCAATTACCTACTCCGAAGAAACCCAGATTGGTTTTCACAGACCTGCAGCGTCGTACACTGCAGGCTATTTTTAAGGTAAATAATTAATTTGTTGTCAATTTGACAGTTGACAAAACGGTAGCCAGGTGTTCTGGATTTATGGTTCAAATATGATCTCCTGCCTAAAAGCTCATTCACATCCACTTAATAAGCGTAACTTAACTTAACTTAACTTAAGGGAATACGTTTCTTACGTGAGCCAATCACATGCCCAGTAAAACGATATAGCGCTATCTTGTTGTTTCACTTTTATAGATAGATAGGCAACCCAGTCTACATCGATGCATACATTGCGCGTGCTTGTATATTGCGTTCTTTGCGTGTATTAAGTTAATGTTAACAGACAACTTAACAGACGTAGGTTTCTTAAGTTAGGTTAAGTTAAGTTACGCTTATTAAATGTAAGTCCTCCAAAACCATCCTAAAACAAGTCCTCTGAAATATTAGTCCGGGAGGCAGTGAAGATTTTCGGTACTTATTTTCCCAGTTTGTGAATGTCATTAAGTTTGTTCAAATGGTGACACAAAACGACAATTTGGGTGTCTGGCTAAAATTTTCGGATGGGTTCACTAGTTGAGCCAAAAAGTCAAGTCCACTTATTTTCCCAGTCATAAATATTTCACATTAATTAAAGTGAGTCATTTTATTAATGGAAATAACAGTCTGGCACATCCCAAGTGAAGGAAAGTCAGTCTGGCTGAAAATTTGCGGAAGCAAAAATTTGACCGGTTTTTGAAATACGTAGCCCTTATTTTCCCATGCTTAAAATTTAACCCATTATTTGGTACTGTCATAAACTATAATCAAAATTAAGTCTGGCTGATTTATGAAATTGGCAAATTGTTCTGGCGGCATCTTGAAAATCGTAAGAATTACAAAAATTTTGCTCTTATTTTCCCGGATTTGAAAATTTGTCACATGATAAATAATACTATAATTTCGTAGAAAATACACGTCTGGCTGTTATTTACAATCACGAAAATAAGGGCAATGATTTTGATAATTTTTCTTAGAGTAACAAGTAAGTACTCTAAGTAATTTTTCCACCTGCCAGACATATTAGCCATACTCACAGTTTAGCCAGACTATTTTTTTTTCATAAGTTCAGTATATCTCTCACTAATGGAATTATTTTTATCACTGGAAAAAAAAGTGCAATATATTTGTACTTTATAACGCAATTTCCGCCTTAACCCATCCGAAAACCCCCGCCTAAATATATATAAATTTTGCTCAGAATAACAAACCCAATAATTGTATCGGTGTTTGCCGACTGGGAAAATAAGTACCGAAAATCTTCTGCCTCCCGGTTGGACGAGTCTGGCAAGGCTTTCGGAGTGTTCCACATTAGCCAGACTATATTTGCAGCTGTAATTATAATATAAACTATCATCTCACAAAATTTTTAGGACTGCGAAAATAAGGGCAATGGTTTTGATAATTTTTCCACCTGCCAGACATATTACCCATACTCACAGATTAGCCAGACTATTTTTTTTCTTAAGTTCACTATATCTCTCACTAATGGAATTATTTTTATCACTGGAAAAAAAAGTGCAATATATTTGTACTTTATAACGCATTTTCCGCCTTAACCCATCGGAAAACCCCCCCCCTAAATATATATAAATTTTGCTCAGAATAACAAACCCAATAATTGTATCGGTGTTTGCCGACTGGGAAAATAAGTACCGAAAATCTTCACTGCCTCCCGGACTATATTCTCGACCAAATAAACATACGCTAAAGAAGTTTCGCTAGTAGCGCCACCACTCGGCTGTTATCATCGTAACAAAAGTATAACTTTTAATAATCAGCTGTTAAACGCTTATGTTACAAACGAGTGTTTTTGAGAATAAAGCCGGAAAATGTTAAAAAATATCGGAAAAAAACCGTGGCTCGATTTGTTGTGTTGTTGGGTGTATTTAGAGAGGAAATCCTGGGTTGAGTTTTTACCGGTTTTCCAATAAACAGTGTTAATCAAAATGAAGAAATAAATTGCATACAGTCTCTGTAAATATAATTTGTACCTATTAGATACAATAAATACACATTTTAGTAGTGATTAACGTGATAAGTGTAAATATTTCAATTTAGTAAAAATCGTCAAACAAATAAGTCGTCTAAATTTAAACAGCATTTAGCATTATTAAAAGCGTTGATTAAGAAAGTCTCCACTCAACGGTAAAATACCATTATATTATGTATTATATATAATATTATGTTGCCATGAATTCGTAGGTATATTTTCTTGTTTAAAATGCAGTTGTCAACGTTGATTTTAAGGTTATGTTTGTGCAAAAATTAATTTTTACTAATTTCTTAAAAATATCCAAACTTAAATATAAATTATATTAGGTAAAGTTATCATTAGTTAACTGCACCAACAAATGTACTTACCGAATTGAATCCTTTGGCAAAACATGAAAATGCAACGATTTAGTTCTTGAATTTTATTTACAATTAAATATGAGGCGCCGTTTGTCCGTAAATTATTTTTGCTATTTATAAGAATATTTTTTATATGTAAACTTTAAATTTCCTATATTATATAGAAACTTTTTAGTTCAGATAATGCCGCTTGAGAATGAGGGCGCTTTGCGGTTTTCAACTAAAAAGCACTGTTGCCAGAGTGTACCAATGCAAAGTTTTGGTCAGTGTTTCCAACATAACGTTTCGCCAAATCTGGCACATTTTAATAAAGGTCGTGGGAAAAAAGATAAAAGTCCAAGTTTAAAAAAAAAGATTCTTTGTTTTTTTATAAATTGACAAGAGAAGCAAAACGTAAGAAATTTTAGTTTTTTTAAATACCTATTAGTAAAAACGAAGCCGTGTTTATTTAGAGAAATAGAGACGGCCAAAGAAGAGAAATGTTTTCTTCAATAAAAATAGACCAACCGACCAATATATTACCTATATATAGGTATTTAAAAAAACTAAAATCCTATAATTTTTGCTATCATTTTGTTCCGCTAGATCTGGCCGAAGATCCGTTATGTTGGAAACACTGACCAAAACTTTGCATTGGCAACAGTGCTTTTTAGTTGAATACCTCATTCTCAAGCGGCATTATCTGAACTAAAAAGTTTCTATATATATAGGAAATTTAAAGTTTATATATAAAAAATATTCTTATATATAGCAAAAATAATTTACGGACAAACGGCGCCTCATAATTAATAACACAATAATTCACCATGATCCCTTAGATAAAATTCACACACTAACGTAACTATATAAGCATTTAAGCGTTGAGTTTCTTAATCAATTATATAAAGAATAATCAGAGTACTAAGTTTTTTAGTTTTTTTTCCTTGCAACAAATAACGTGCGCGATTTAGCTGTGCAATTGAACAAAATTTGTCGAATAAGACCTCTTTTTTGTGAAAAAACTACCTATTTATTTAAACATGATGTATAATTGTATTGTTGACAATTCTTAAAGTCACGCAATGGTATAGAAGTCCACCAGATGGCGCCCGATACTTCTTTAGTGTATAGATATCCAGCTTGTTTAATAATAAGAATGGGGTTCCATATTAACAGCAAATTCAATAAAAATGTATTTTTTAGGAAACCAAGAGGCCGTCGAAAGAGATGCAGGTGACAATAGCGAGGCAGCTGGGCTTGGAGCCCACGACCGTAGGAAATTTCTTCATGAATGCGCGAAGGCGATCGATGGACAAATGGAAAGACGAGGATCCGAAGTCGGCCGTTTCGGCGTTAATGCACCAGCAGATGTCGCCGGGCATGGACGACGACCTTGACGGCGACGGCGACCTCGACGATATGGACGACCATGACGATCAGGATGACGTGTTGTGACATGCGTTCCGTGATAGACATTTGTTATTGCTGTGAGACACTATCAACATTAAAGTGACGACGGCATTCGTTTTGCACGGCGAGTTTTGCATTCCACTTGAAAAACTGTTTTATACCATGGAGCATCAGGGATGTCTACAACTCACCGTGTAGATCAATTAGTTATAGTGTAGATTCACAACTAATTGTGTATTTGACCTACGAAAAAATTCATGTGCGCTTGTACCACACAAATGAAGTCAAACTTCTTTAGGAAAATTTTCATCAAATCATTTTATATGTATAATACAACGCAGGCGTACAGTTTTGGTTTACCCCATCCTGAAAGAAGTTTCACTTCTAATGCAACTTCAACAGTTTTATTAAAAGGGTGCAATGTTTTGCGAGGGCACAAACTTTAATTAGCCTTAAATACGTAACCTTGAAGCTGAAAGCGATCTGCGCATATCATTTTTTACTTACTGCGCATCAAGGTGACTTCAAAGCTTCGCAAAATATTGGCTTTTTATCTGTCAACAACTATTTTATTTGCTTTCAAATGGGTTTGGACGTTTTATTAATAATTTGTCACCCTCAGTACAAAATTAATCAAATCTATATGCGAGCTTCCGAGATGTCTACATATAACATTAAAGATATATATCTTAACCGATGTCGGGATCTTAGACCAGTCTAGGCTCGGAATCAAAATTTAATTTATTTAATTTATTATACTCACGACTTGTTTAGCTTTTTAAGCCCCATACATCTTTACATTCCATGTATTAATGCCATCGAAGTTTCCAGCGATTTTTTAAAAAATATTTTTGGGTTAATGAATCGCTTGATGAATTAGTATTTTAGTTCGAAAATGCCATTTTATGTTAATTGTGTACCTATGATTTTATTGCTAGTCATCAATACCTCACAGTGAGCTGGGGTGTTATACAAAATTGTTTTATTTTATGTAAATACTTCTTGTTATTTTTGCCATGATAATTTCTAAGTAACTTATTATTATTATATTTATAAAAGAAGAAAAAAGTGTAGCAGACTGGTTTGTAAAGCGGTGTACTTTGTGATTGGTTGAAAAGCAAGGACAGTTTTAGTTTTTAGTGCTTAAAAATACTAGTGTTCATGTGATTATTAGTTTGATCTGTACGAGTTGTTTTACACAGGTCAAATACAAATAATTAAACTTTCTACACCAAAATTGTATAATATCAATGACGCTATATTTTGGTAAAAATCTAAAGTATATTTTAGCACAAATAATAATCTGTAATAAGATTGCAGATAGATAATAATGTACAAAATAGCATTTTTATGTTTTTGTGTATGAAAGAAATAGAAAATTTTATAATTTTAGAGTGCCTATAGAGCAGCTCCCTATTTTTGTCTATGAAATTATCCTTTAATGTAAATTTTTTAAAATAGTATTTTTTTATCGAAAAATAATACCAATAATTTGTTAAAAATAAATTGTCATTATTTTTCCGGTCGAATTTTGTGTTGAAAGTCTGTGACGGTGAAAATAGGACATATTTGTTAAATCTATGTAAATATTACAGGACAAAAGTATTTATATATATAATACCTAGTATTGTTGGGATCACTTTTGCTATGAAATCATGTAACTCTTTAATTATTTAAAGTAATCGGCTCTGTTTCATTTTTTATATTAAAATAATACGTGTAAGCTTTACTCTCATAGCTACTTTGTTACCCTAATTTTTTAGAAATTCTAACACCCAACCTCGTGACAAATTTAGAAGATCACGAATTGCCTTAAATATTAAAAAACATGTTAACTGTTGTATAAGTCTAGTCAGCACTTCTCTTAAATGTTCCTTTCTAGTCCACTTTTATTTATTTATTATTATTATTATTATTACTATCATAATACTCTGTGGAAGACCAAAAAAACGGTTTCTTGAAATTTGTCACATTACTTTTTGTAGAGAAAGCAAAGTCGCAAATTTCAAAAAACAGTTTATCACTGGAAAGATTTTATTTTAAATAAATGTCTGGTTGATATTGAAACCATGTTACTGCGCAGTCCGCCTGTCCACCTTTGCGCAGCTCACCAGTAGCGTTCGTAAAATGATACCTGTGCAATTTTGATAAATAATTTTTCTACAAACAATTTGTCGAAGCACCCGCCAAAGTGTTTTAATGATGTACTTAATTTATAAGTTTTTGCACGAAGCACTTTTACCGTTTATTTTTATTATTGACCGATCTATAGATCGATTCATTGCATTGCGATTGGTCATCACTACCCAGTATCATTTTTAGTGCAATAGTAAAACGTGTAAAAATGGCAATACCATATCCCATCAGTGTGCATCGTGGTCTACACGATTTACACGCGATTCTGTAGAAATATAGCGTTGATTAAAGAAATATTTAAAGTAATATTTATTGGTTTTATTTCATACAATCTTTATCCCCTTTTTGGTATTTGTTTCATACATTATTGAAGTTGGCGAGTTAAAATGTTAGCAGGCAAAGGAAGTTGCGCGCGCACATCGTAACAGTATGAAGTTGGCCATAAATGGTCACGTGATGAGTGACGTCACACGTGGAGGGAAACATATTTGCTGGTGTGTTCGTGGCTGTCTCTCGTAAGAGAGAGATAAAAATAAATAAATACCGTATGGGAATCCCCTTGACATAGGTATCAAATAAAAGGGTTTGACGAGTACCTATAAAACAATAAGTTAAAAGTACAAAATCGAAAAAAAATTCTGCCCACCATATCCATAATTATTCCATGTATTTTGGCCCACTAAACACGAAAATCACACTCAATTTTTTTATGGAATCGTTTTTGAAATATGAATTTTCATTTTTTTTCAATTTTCGGAGGTGTTTTGACGTTTTTGAGTATAGCTTGAAATCTAATTGAACGATTTGGTCAACCAAGCCCTTAAATTGAAGGTATTTGAGCCCTTTAAAACTTTCTTTTGCATACATTTGATATCGGATAAGTATTTTGACGCTAGCGATATTAATAACTTAAAAAATTCGTTTTTATGGCAAAAATTGAGGTCGAAAATTTACATATCGTCCTGGGTAGGGTTTAAATCAAACAGATAACTCCAGTTTAAATTTTTTTTCGTGAGGCTGACATTTTTACAAAAAAAATAAGCTAATGTTGATAAAAATACATGGAAAAATGGCGATGTTATGAATTTTTTAGTGGAAGACCAAAATTCAGCTTTTTGACGATTTTTATTTTATTTGATAATATGTTTATTCTTTAATGAAAATTTAAGTAAAGTGCATGATTGGAATTTTTTGAGTTTTTTACGTACTTTTTTTACCGAAAACATTATTTAAAATTTAAATTTGACATGACTCCGCAAACGCGAATTCTTTTGTTACTCGTGTTGGCATAGTGACATTTTACTGCTATTTTTTGATATATCAAGAAGGTATTTTTTATCATGGTTTTATTTAGTTAATAAAAAGTGTAAAATGAGTAAAAGAAGTAGAGAGTTCGAGTGCGTATATAACCCGGACAATCTGGGCGACGTTAGTGATGAGCACGGAGAACGTTTTCACCAGCAAATGAAGGCTATGGAGCGGCGGTATCACGGCTTCTGGGAAGCAGCCATGATGGGTGATTACATTTGGTCCCTCATACGAGAAAAGGAATACGAAAGCAACAAAAAACAAAGAAGGAGCCAGAATTTTTTTAAACCTATGCTTATTACAACAAAATAAAACTTTCAATATCTTCAATGTTCAATATTTATTGTTCAATAATCAATATATAATTTAATTTCAATATTTAATGTTTTAAATAAAAATCCATGTTCAATATTAAACTGTATGTAACTTAATAAAATGAAAAAATTCTCGAAAAAACTGAATTTTGGTCTTTCACTGAAACATTTATAACTTTGCCATTTATCCATTGATTTTTATCAACAGCAGCTTATTTTTTTCCTTTAAGTACGTAAAATAAATCAAACTGAACTTATCTTTTCGATTTCAATCTTTCCCAAAAAGATATGTAAATTTTTGACCCCGATTTTTGTAAAAAAAAAGGACTCTTTCAACTTCATAAAATCGCCAGGATCGAACTACTGAGCCGGTGGGCAAAATGGCTAATTATTAAAGACTGAATAATTTTTTAATTACATTATTATTGTGCAGTTTTTTTTAAACTGCTTTCTTCCAACAAGCAACGCTAAAATCAAAATTTCCTGATACAATTTCCTTTAATAATTAAACACAAACTCGACGATTCAACTTTTGTTGTTTTTGTTCAATTAATATTCCATTTTTATTTGCACTTTTATCTCTAATTAGATTTATCGTCAACCTTCATTAAAATTGATTTACATTAAGGATAATACAATAATCTTCACTTGCAAATCGCTTCAACCATTCACACAGTAAACACAACTACTAAAATTTTAAATGATAATCAGTGTAGCAAGTCCTTTGAGGCATTACCGGCTTTATCATGCCTATTAAAATTTTAGGGGTTGTAACCACTGCGTGAAATCTATAGCAAAAGATGAAGTGTTTTGCGGTTTTTTTAATCACTACCGTTTCGTTTTTGTTGGTCCACCCTGTATACATTCAAATTTAGTTCATTAATGTTGTCGACATCTTGTAACATCAGCGTGAAGCTTAAAATAGCTTTCTAAAATAAGTACCTACACTTCGCATCTGAACACTCGCCAATAGATAGAGCAATTATTTGGATTGTATAATTTTGTATTTCCAGATCGTTTAAATTTTGTTTAAATCAATTCAATTAGGATGTAGAATAAAAATTACCAAATACATTCCTTATTTGAAAGTTTTATGGTTGATTAAAAAAGAGTTTGTTTTTTATTTACGTACAAAGTGTATACAAAAAGTATAAAAGTTTGATGGTAAAGCTGGAACGTTAAGACAAAGTAACAATAAAGCTTTAGCTATAGGTGTTTTATGGAAGAATAGAATTGGGTCATTGTCGTAAAATTTCAAACGATTGGTAGTAAAAAGTGAAACATGTTGTGCACGCCGAGATTTGGCTTTAATAGTGATGAAAGTGATTCGGTTGGAGTTAATTAGTGTTAAAATGTATCTGATTTGCGATGCTGGTGGTGTTTGAGTAATGTAGGTTAAAAGGGTAAGCAGTAAGCCGAGAAGAAAAACGTGGTGAGTATGTGTGCGGTACAAGATAACGCGGTGGTTGGTAGTGGAGAAGAAGGTAATGGTGAAATGTAGAAACGTGCAAATCGATCAAAGTGGTCCTGCGTGGTGGTGGTAGCGTAGCAAGTGACAGCCGACGCGAATCGTCGAAGGTCGTGCGACGTCGAGGATCGTGGGGTAAACTCGACGCTGCTTGGTAGCGTAGCTCCGCACTGACCGCAGTAAGCAGTGTGTGAGACAATAACGACGGCAATATGATTGCACGCGTGGCTGAAATAGATCAGTGCATGTTCTCACGACCGAAGTTTTGTTGATATGCTATTCAACGGACGGTGGCTAGCAAGTGCCGATGATCGGACAGTGCATAACCAAGTCTCGAAGAAAAAACACAAGAAGCTCAAGCTTTGGGGATTGGAGACGAGACACTGACTGACTGACTGACTGAGGGAACATTACACATTTGGTGAATAAAATAGATTTGTATTGAAGAAGAATTAGAGTTGAGTTTGGAAGGCTCAGCTGCCAGATATGCGTGCGTAAAGGCAGGAGAGAAAGCAGCGGAGGCAGCAGGAGCAGCGAGAGCTGGCAGAAGGTTGCACGCTGCGTAAGAGAGAGTGTGTGTTAGTATTAGTGAATTAGAGAAAGTAGTTTCGTTCGCAATAGTGCGAGGAACATTCCGCCACACAGCATGGCCTCGGTCGCCGCTTGGCTGCCATTTGCCCGGGCGGCGGCCATCGGCTGGGTGCCCATCGCCACTCACCCACTTCCGCCGCCCCCAATTCCGAAAGACAGAAGGAAAACAGATGACGAGAAGCTGCTGATCAACGTGTCGGGACGTCGCTTCGAGACATGGAGAAATACGCTGGAAAAGTATCCCGACACGCTGCTAGGTTCGAATGAGCGCGAATTTTTCTACGACGAAGACTGCAAAGAGTACTTCTTTGATCGCGATCCCGACATATTCCGGCACATTTTGAACTATTATCGAACTGGTAAACTGCATTACCCGAAACACGAGTGCTTGACCAGTTACGATGAGGAGTTGGCGTTCTTCGGCATTCTTCCCGACGTAATCGGCGATTGTTGCTACGAAGATTACCGCGACAGGAAGCGCGAAAATGCTGAGCGCCTCATGGACGATAAGCTCTCGGAGAACGGTGACCAGCACCTGGAGAAACTGACCAACTTAAGGCAGAAGATGTGGCGGGCGTTCGAGAACCCGCACACCTCCACGGCAGCCTTAGTTTTCTACTACGTAACGGGATTCTTCATCGCGGTATCCGTGATGGCGAACGTGGTCGAGACAGTACCATGCGGAAGCAGGCCCGGTGGTGCCGGCTCGCTCCCCTGCGGAGAACGCTACAAAATTGTGTTCTTCTGCCTGGACACTGCCTGTGTCATGATATTCACCGCCGAATATCTCCTCAGAATGTTCGCTGCTCCAAACCGATACAAATTCGTTCGATCAGTGATGAGTATCATCGACGTCGTCGCTATTTTGCCTTACTACATTGGCTTAGGGATCACAGACAATGACGATGTGTCTGGCGCTTTCGTCACCCTTAGGGTATTTCGAGTTTTCAGGATTTTCAAATTTTCCAGGCACTCGCAAGGTCTACGTATCTTAGGTTACACACTAAAGTCCTGTGCTTCCGAACTAGGCTTCCTAGTTTTCTCCCTTGCTATGGCAATCATTATTTTCGCCACCGTCATGTTTTACGCTGAGAAAAATGTCGGAAAAACCTTCACATCCATTCCAGCCGCTTTTTGGTACACCATCGTCACCATGACCACCCTTGGGTAAGTTCAACACAGATCGATCGATCGATTAGATAGACCAATCTTTATGTTCCTTCTAAACCTTATCAGACCCCCATTTATTTGGGCCAAAGGTATTCAAAGAGAATTTAAACAAAAAATTAACAAATTAGGTTTAAACCAGATGGAATTAATTGTAAAGCAATTATTACAGAGCAATTCGTTGCACCTGTTGAAAACAATTTAGAATCGTTCAAATGAAAAATACCTTTGTTGTTTTAAAATAAAATTACAAATTAATTAATCTGCTATTTCATGCTGCTAATGAACCGAGTTGAACCAACCTGATCATTCATAACTTCAATTGAATGAAACTGCTTTAGTCAAAAATGGCGAATGCGCCGGGGTTACTTAAATGCTTAATTAATCTTTACACCTCCAAAAATACTTCATATAAACTGTTACATTTCTAAATAATAATAAATTTGATATTATAGAAATGATTACGTAAAGATTTATTTATTGAAAGAATATTACACTGCGTCTGGCGTGCAAAATTAAATAAAATAATATGTACGGTTAATGTAAATAAATAAGGGGTTTTATTATTATTTTATTTATTTTAACTGAAAAAGAAATAAACTATTTTTAGAGTGTCTTATAAATTCCTATACCTATATTAAATCCAAACAAAAACACGACTATTTCATAGGCAATCTATTTTAGTGATATTTGTTTATGCGTTTCTACATCATACGCCTAGTTAAATAAAGCCTTCCTTGCCGACTCTTTATTGTGCGTAAAACCCCCCGACGTCATGTTTGATGGCATTGTTGCCTCAAAAGCAGAAAAACAATGACATTATGACAATGTGGATGTTTACTCTGAATTTTAAAATATTTTTTGGCAGACGAGAAAATTCGTTATTTTACGCCAGTTCCGAGTATTGATTCGCACCCCAAAACTTAACTAAACCGTTTTACATTTACCTCAAATTCACTTAAAAATAATAAGTGTAATTTTACTGGTCTTTAAATCGCTTTCGTTGGAAAATGACTATTAAATTCTTTAACATTTAAAATTTTACAAATTGAATTATTTCTTTTTTATTGGCGCTTAACTTTAACATAAAAATAATAGGTGTTTAGCAATAACAACCAACACAAATATTGATTTCAAATTGATTTAATAAGATTCTCATATGTCTATAATAAAAACGTATTATTAACAATACTTCGGTGATTTTTTTATGAAATGCACAGACACATGTGTTCTATATAAAGTGCAAAATACTATTGATTATCCATCCGTTCAAGGACGATTTATGCATAACATCTAATAAGGGATAAACTGTCTTATAAATGTGGATTTAAACTAATTGAACATAAAATGTGTTTCGTATTCAGCTAGCGACGCACCACTAAGAACTTCCAAATAAAATGGACAATTTTTTATTGATTTAAAATGTTTTAACTGACTTTCTTGAAGATAGCCATAGCAAAATTACATTTAATGTAGGATAGTTTAAAGTTATTTATAGATAAACACTCACGAGATTCAGAGCCAAAAGCATAAAAATATTGAAATAGATATACATAAAAATGCGAACAATTTTTGTTTATTATTTTGAATGACACTAAACGACCATATTAATTGTATTTAACACATATTAAAATAACCAAATTATGCGATTATCTGATTTTTTAAATTAAACACAGGTCTTTGGTTTTATGAGTTATTTGGCAGCTGCGCCTCACTTATGACATTTCCAATTTATGATTTGTGTGAAATATTAACATTTCCAATTTATGATTTGTGTGAAATATTAACTTAAAATACATATAATTTTATGACCGACATTATGTTTTTATTGATTATATACAATTTTCTTATGCGCCATTACACACGCCTCATAAACACTAAATCACTGTACGCAGTTTTTAAGCGAATAAAAAGCTGCGCAGTAGATTTTGACCGTTGTATTTTTGTTAACGACTATGCTTGTATTGATAATATACAATTTTCCAATACGCCATTACACACGTTCCATTAAAACTAAATCACCGTCCGCAGTAAAAAGCTGCCCAGTTGATTTTGACAATTCTATTTTTCCTTTACGACATTTTGTTTTTAATAATAATACACATTTTTGTAATGCGCCATTACACGCACCCCATTAACACTAAATCACTACGCAGTTTGTAAGGGAATAAAAAGCTGAGCAGTGTATTTTTTGTTTACGACATTATGTTTTTATTGATAATATACAATTTTCTAATGCGCCTTTACACACGCCCCATTAACACTAAATCACTGTGCGCAGTTTGTGAGCGAATAAAAAGCTGCGCAAAAGATTTTGACCGTTGCATTTTTTGTTTAAAGGTATGGCGACATGGTACCGGCTACTATTGCTGGTAAAATAGTGGGAGGAGTTTGCTCACTTAGCGGTGTACTGGTAATTGCTTTACCTGTACCTGTTATTGTCTCCAATTTCAGCAGAATATACCATCAAAATCAAAGGGCGGACAAAAGGAAAGCACAAAGGGTGAGTGCTAGCTTTTTATTTGTATTAGTACGAGGTCATTTAATTTAAACTTTTATAGTTATAAAAACTACTTATCAGTGTTTTTTTTAAATTCGCTACTTTACTTTGACGATCTCTCCAGCACACTACGTGCGATGGATAGAGATCATTTTCTATAGAAAAGAGAGAGAAGTTTTGAATTTGAATGTGAAAAGTTAATCGATACATACATATATGCATACTTCCCGATTATTATAATTTAATGTTGTACAACGGGAAAGCTTTATGTTTAAAAATAGCCGATAAAACAATAAAAATAGAAAAATACACAATACAACCGTAAAGTTCTATTTATGGGTCTTACATTCATGTAGTTTAAATTATTTGTACAATTAATTGGTGCTCTGTATCAAAATATTTTTTGTAGCATTACTCAAATGTCGAGTGTAAAATAAATATTTAAAAAAAAACCTGCCAAATAAACTGCGGAATGTATAGTAAATAAAATAACTAAATAAGCGTGTAATTTCATTTAAAATTAACTCGCGTGTAAATTAATTCAGGCCAGTGAATCATTTTTAATTAAAAAATGTAAACTTATGATTTTATTTATCTAAAGAGGATGGTAGTATGGAACTTTAATTAAAATTATTTCGGTGGAAATATGCTGACAGTGACCTGTAATTTTACAGTTACCTACATTATTTTCTAGGTAAATGCGATAGATGGAACCACTCTTCTTTATTGTACGGAGGTGTATAATAATTTACCTCTTGAGCTGCTAATATGAGGTTTTTTTATATTATACGCTTAGAAGAAAATCTTTATTGAAGTGATTCTTCTTTTAAATCTAACATTAAAAAAAATTGCCGAAACAAATGGGCTATGGGTTTGGGCTATGAAACATATCAATTGAGCTCTCTTAATTTTTAAGATGAAAAAAATGAAATTTGGTCTAAATTGTTCACTGTTAAATCACAAAAACGTCGAGATTCCTTCTATATAGAGTCTTCTTAATATAGTTCAAAACTTTTTACGGTCCTCAACTTTTTCCAACCGTTCAACTGTTCTTTCTGATATCAACACCATAAACTTCTTCCTTATAAGGAAAAAGATGCAGTGACTTAAATGTGAATAAAACTAAAATAAACAAATGATCTACTCCTTCTTCTTCTTTTTCTTCTTTCTATAAGCCTATATAATTTGTACTGCAAAACTATGTGTTTAGATAGGCCATGTCCTTTGGACGGTATATGAGCTGATAACTTTCGTTCACTGTGCTACCGCTGTCGTTGTATCCTGCTGCCTATAAAGCAACGGTTGGCAATGTGTTCCACACCACACGGCTACCAGACACTGATGAGGTTCAAAAGACTGAAACAGTCTGTCTGTCGGTGCTTGGTGAGGAACACATCTATAAACAAATGTTCTACTTCTTCTTCTTCCTTTTCTTCTTTTTCTTCTTTCTATAACCCTATATAAGTTCTACTGCAAAACTATGTGTTTAGATAGGCCATGTCCTTTGGACGGTATATGAGCTGATAACTTTCGTTCACTGTGCTACCGCTGTCATTGTATCCTGCTGCCTATAAAGCAACGGTTGGCAAAGTGTTCCACACCACAAGGCTACCAGACACTGATGAGGTTCAAAAGACTGAAACAGTCTGTCTGTCGGTGCTTGGTGAGGAACACATCTATAAACAAATGTTCTACTTCTTCTTCTTCCTTTTCTTCTTTTTCTTCTTTCTATAACCCTATATAAGTTCTACTGCAAAACTATGTGTTTAGATAGGCCATGTCCTTTGGACGGTATATGAGCTGATAACTTTCGTTCACTGTGCTACCGCTGTCATTGTATCCTGCTGCCTATAAAGCAACGGTTGGCAATGTGTTCCACACCACAAGGCTACCAGACACTGATGAGGTTCAAAAGACTGAAACAGTCTGTCTGTCGGTGCTTGGTGAGGAACACATCTGTAACAGTAAAGAGTTGTCTATTAGTTCCTTATTACCAGCTTCTTTTCTACATTGCTCAACGAACTAAGATTCTCATGAAGACAAGCTTAAAGATGCTCATTTGAAATGTATTTGATTTTATAGAAAGCCCGATTGGCTCGAATCCGTATAGCCAAGGCTTCGTCGGGAGCGGCGTTTGTAAATAAAAAGAAGGCGGCGGAGGCGCGCTTGGCGGCCCAAGAGTCGGGTATTGAGTTGGACGACAACTATAGGGAAGAGGATATATTCGAGCTGCAGCACCATCATTTGCTGAGGTGCTTGGAAAAAACAACGGATAGAGAGTTTGTGGAGCTGGAGGTGCCGTACAACGGTCATCCGAAGCGGCCGGGTTCCCCTTCGCCAATGGCGAGCCCAGCGCATTCGGCGGTGTCGATTGGGCTTCTGCAGTCGTGTTGCGGCAGGTGCTGCCCGAGGAGATACCAGCAGGCGTGCGGTAAATACATGCCGGCCGCGTCGGCCGCTCAAACCAATCAAACGGGAGGTGGAATGGATGGTACCTACCTCGTTGAGGCGTCTTTCTAAGACATATCACTTAACAAAGCATCTGTTGCCTTTGCCGGACCACCGATGCAGACTCCATAAGACGAAGATTTGATTCAAAAGTCTCGCAACTTTCGTTCTCTAACATTTCATCGATATTGTTGTGTAAAATGTGTAGCATAAATTGTGATATAGCTGATAATTACAAACAGTTCACTAAATCTCCGTGTTTCTATTTAATAATTAATACATTCAATGTCTCATGCGGGATATTCATTCCAAAGCACAAGCCGAACTTAAACGGACTTAAAACAAAATAAACTCCGCCACAACACACAACTTATAGATATTTTTATACAAATAGTATTTTTACATGGTTTACTTTAAACGATCACCCACCAACTATAATTTTAATTAAAGGTGGATTTAGCTGTTGGTCAACATTTAACTTTCAAAATGAATCTGCGCTTGCGCGGCGTATTACCAACCTTATTAACAACAACAAAATTTGCCATCGAATGTTTAAAGGTTAGTTATATTGTTTTGTGCCTAAAATCTTTGTATTTCGTTTAAAGGTAATAGTTATTTATGTCATTAGGTTAAGAAGTAAGGCTTTTTGTGCTAAGCTCAAGGTTTGAGCGTAGCGGAGGCCTACAATTGAGCGAAGCACAAAAAGACACTTCTTGGCCGAATGGCATACAACATTTTATCTTCAAAGCACTTTATATAGGTCAATTTAATTCAACATCAAAGCGGCCTAACCTCACTTTTTTAATATCTCATTTGTTCATTAGCTAAAGATTACATTAAATGTACAATAATTATTATTGCTTTTAGAAGCAGTAATAGTTTGACAATACCTAGCAACATGATTTAAGTAGAAATGGATTTTTGCTATTACATTGAATTCAATTAATTGTATCTAATTTCAATTTGTTTGGATTTCTATTTAAAAAATAGGTAGTGTGGAATGTTTAAGCTGTGTTTAACATTTAATTTCACTGAAAACTTAAAGCAAATTAAAACTTAAAGACAATTTAAATCGTAGGAAAAGAATCGTGAGTTTTCTTGGTTGCCTAACCTCATTTTTTGTTTTATTATTCATATTTAATTTTACAATAATTTAATGAAAAATATTAAACATTAACAGTAAAACAAACAAATTAGTGCTTATTATAAATAAATTAAACCAGTTTAGTACGTTAATTTCGTAGAAAAGGATTAATTTGTCAAAACAATACCCCTAGTGAGAAAAAATCGAACTAATTACTTGCCTCATAAAAATTTTTATCGACCTAGGCCATAACAAGGTATTTCTTTATCGAATGTTGACAACAATAAAGTTTAAATTATAGACCGCGTGGAGATAAAGATAATTATCATTCAGTCAACCACAGTCTTGCCAACTTCGGTTTCAAAAAACACCATGTACTAAAAGGTATAAATGGCACAATTTTTCTTAAATTATATTAAATTACCTTACATTATATTAAATGCTGGCTAAATCCACCTTAAGTAGTGCTTATTTTTGCGCACCTTACCTCTAGACGTATACAGGGTATTTATTATTCACCAAATAAAAGTACCTAGACTTGTGGTCGACCAATTTTGTTTTTTATGCTGGGATGAAAATCCCGCACGTTAGAAATCAAATTTTTCTGTACTGTAAAAAATAGCATTTCATTTGGAAGGTGGACCGAATTTCTAACCTTTGTAGGGTTGTAAATTATTACTTAACATTTTTGTAGGATTTTTTCGTTTCATGCACTTCAAAAAAAAAAGTTAATCGGCCTATGGAAGGGTGTGGGAGGACTTATTGATTTTGCGCGGTTTCAATAAATTTAATCGGTTTCGGGTAATTTATCAGATTTTAGATTTATTACACGAAATATTATACAGGGTGTCCCAAAATTTCAAGACGAATTTTAGCATTTTTTAAATTTGCAAAATTGTAGAATTTGTCATCGTGGTTGCCTACCTACATTCGAACTCGTCCGATAGAGCAGAAATACTGCGCTCCTGTTGGCGGCTTTAAAAGTTAAATATGGCAAAAAAAAATCGTCTTGGAATTTCAAGAGGGATTCACCTTTGCCCTTTGGGCCCAGAATTGTGTATATATTGGTGTGATTTTCGAATGCATGAAAAGAAAAAAGGCACTACAAGAGTATTATACATATATGATAGAGATAATGTTTAAGGAATTGTAGTTCCAATAAACACCAAAAATTACGAAATTATTAAAATTGTAATTGTTGTTCTAGAATTTAAAAAAATAGATATTTATTTCTTTAATAATAATAAATAAGTTTGAAATAATTAGAACAGTCAATGTTCTTCTAATACACATACTTATTTCCTTTTAGAAAGGACTTTTTTGATGTTTTTATATATTTTATTCAATGCAGAAGTATTATTATAAAAAAAGTTATATACTTATATATGTATAAATAAATAAATGAATAAATAAGAATGTCAATGATAAAAATCGAACGTTACTTGAAATTGCAATAAATTAATGTTTATTAAATGTAACTGTTTCATTATACAGGATGTATCAAAAAATGAAATACAAACAATAAAATCATAATGCTTACCGTATAATGTAAAGGACTAGATACTAATTCAAATAAACAAGTCATATTTTTTCTAAAACTTAGGCGTAACTATAAAAAAATTTCAGCCAACATAATTAAGAAGCAATTACCTATAATAGATTAATAAATGTCGGGTCCAAAAGGTCCTTAATTGTATTTTCATTTTGAATATTATTCTTAAATAGGATTTAGATTTTAAAAAACATCTGGCTAAACTTATTTTCTATTTTTGATAATCGGTGAGCATTTAAATTTGCCATATTGGTGTTTAAAATAGACAATCTTAAAAGGACTAAACGTCTCGTTTCTTAACCTCTTTATGTTGGTTTCATTTGAAATACAGTCTGTGTAGTTGTTATTTACCAACTATGTCTGTACTATAATTTTACAACCCTATTAGATACATTCCCGAATAATATCAAAACCACCCCCAAAAATCTACAAGCTGCAACAGAAAAACTTTGAAATGCTTTTTCTTGTTAATTTCAATTTTAATTTTTCAATTTCAATTTTTGTCGTTGCAGCCTTAAGGTGCTTCCTTGATTATTCGAAAGCTGTTGTTAATTAAAATTATTCAATTTTTTGTTGTCATTTGTCAGCCATGGTGAAAATAAATCTTTAGATAACAAGCACAAAGATCCTAAATAGTGACAGAAAAGAACATTTATGAATTAGTTGATTATGAGCATAGTTAATATTCTACATATATAGACTAATTTAATATAAACAAATCTTTTTGTATAGATAGTTTGTTTCCTTCAAAATGTACCAAATTTATTTATTCTTTTTTAATTGATTAAACAATACATTTTCCACAATTCAGCAAATCTTTTATTTTACCACCACCAAACCCCTACAATTTAGAAAATTAAAAAGGTAAGTAGTAATTTTTGTAATATTTTTTTTCTTCAAAAAAATGGCGGATGCGCCGGGATAATTTACGAAATATTTCAATTATTTCATACGTTGTTGCCAAATAAAATGATATGGCAAGTTTTCAAAGTCTATTTCGCATTTCAAAATAATAATTTGCAGCATCTAACCACTATTAAAAGGAAGTTTTAGGTAAAATAAAATAGAGACCAAAACCCTGATAGCACACTTTATTCAAAGAATGTTTTTTAAACCTTCCAGTGAGAATATTCTTAGGGTCATGCTATATTTCTTCTAAAGAACATGCTTAAAAGAAATATAGCATGATCCTAAGAATATTCTTACTGGCCTATATGCAGGTTCTTAGAAGGTGCAAAGTTTTAGTGGTACAAATTAGTCTACTCTAAACATATGCTTAGAATGTTAAGAAAGTAATTAGGTACTATAGAAAGTTCATTTAGGAATATTCCTGTTAAGCATATTTAGTTCAGTTACCTCTATAATAGTAAAATATATACACACATGTCCAAAAGTTTGGAATACTTACAAATAATATATCTACGCCTATGGTAGTTTAAAAAAACTGTTGTTAATATTTACTCTATTTTCTCTGTCTTTGAGGTTTATTTATTATTGGTCGGAGTCGTTATAAAATGGTATTTACCTATATAAAAAAATATATATAAATATCAATAAAAAAAAAGAAATATTGCAATATTCCAAACTTTTAGACATATGTGTATATATAACTACGTATAAAGGTACCTAATTAGTAATTAGTATTAAATACTAAGTAAAAAACACAATCCAAAATATTTTTTATAGTTATTTGTTAAATTAAAACAATATTCGATAACAAAAATACTTTTACTATAGGTATTTTATTTTATGTTAAAAATAAATATTTATTAATTTGTATACCGATTTTTTATTTCTGAATTAACATTTTTATGTATAATAATCCTAACTATCTTCAACTTCAATCTAATCTGACTTATCCCACAAAATTTTCCAATTTTACTTTTTATGAAATAATGTCATAGAACTTATGGTTTAGAGGTCAAATTGTTTATTTAATATTTTTAAATATATATTAATATGTCGCAAAATTTTTTAAGGGGACGACAAATACATTTTACTGCCATATTATGACAGTGAGGCGTATTTGTCGTCTCCTAAAGAATTTTACGAATGTAGAATACAACATATTAGAACGTGGGTATCTGACATATTTGGGAATATTCTCAAAAGCTTCCTAGAAGCTCCATAAGAAACCTTCTAAGAACATTCCAAAAACGTATTCTTAAAATGTTCTTGGGATGCTTTTTAAGACGGTTTTAAGAAGTTTTTAGGAATCTAATTGCAACATTAAAAGGGTATCTATTGAATGTTTTAAAAGTCCCTAAGAACATTCTTAGCAATAAGGGAAGGTTCTAAGAGTATTCCAGTAATCCGGGTCATATCTTCTTAAAAGATTCTTAATATCAGGAAAATGAAGACCATATATATATATACTCAATATTTAATTAAAAATTAGTTAAAGTATTAATATAATGCAATATTAAATGTAAATGCTATTGGTGAAAAGCTTGTAAATATAATAGTGGTGTAGCGAAATTACTAATTTCCAATACACACTCATTGAATGTTCGATTTACAGAATAACTTCAATTAAAATAAATATTTTTTACATATACATGGACTCTTAATCCCCTTAATCCCCAATGTTAACTCAAATTTCAAATTTAAATTAAAAAGTTCATAGATGCGTTTTTTACTTTTGACCTATTTTAAAGGAATTAAATGAATAAATATATGAATTTTTGATGCGCTGAATATAGTGGAATTTCTGTCTGTCAAAAATGTCAGCGGAACTTTTAATTTGATCATTAATAATTATTTGATTTTTGATCAAGTTCCTTCTATTACATATTATTAAAGATCATCTACAAAACAATAGAGTAACCATTCTAACTTGAAAACTTGTTTATAAAATTTGAGATTTTTTTTGCGCACTGAAAGAAATTGGAGGAAAATGTAGATTAATGTTAATTTTTTTCATGTTTTTTTTTAATTTATAAATTTAATTTATAAATTTAATTTAATAGGCTTTATATATAATTAAACCAACCTTGTGGCTCTTCAAATGCAAAATACACACGAATTTGAATGTCAAAAAAACTGTTTATCTATTTTGCGTTCAAAATGACTTCATTATAACACCGCTTTCGGTGCTGTAATGAGATACTTTATCCCACCCAAAATTTAGATTTTATAGGTTGGCTATACTTTAAACAGCATAATATTTTGCATATTGGTTATAATATTTTTATGATTTTTCTAGTACTTACGAGACTTTTCTGGCAAAAATTTTTGTTTAACACCAAAGAAAATCCTTTTTTTCTTCTTTAACATTAACAGCCGCTTATTGTAAACAAGTAAATTAAGGACGGCATGGCGAATCGATTTTGACATTAACTGTCAAACCAATGAGTGTGATACCAACTTTCTAAAGTAAAATTCGACCAAATTAAATTTAAGGTATAAAATTATTTTTTTTATAGAATGTTTGCAAAATAGATAAAATAGCATAAAGAACTCATGTTCTTTAATATACTATTTTTCGCAATATCTTAAAAACTAGAGCTAATTGAGCAAAATGTTAGTCGTTTTGGAATCCCAAGAAAAAATTATCCTAAAAAGTTCTTGAAAAATTTCTGTAATTAGAATATTATTATACATGTTTATTTTTTACTGCATTACATACATTATTAAGATTTATCAAGCAAAATAATGTGCCCTATTAAAATTTGGCACAATTCCAATATCAGATATTGCGATTTGTTGATATTTAAAAAGAAATGTGATTTGTTCGAGTTAAATTTTACAATCATTTTGTTGATAAATTAATTAAATGAATCTACGTCAATATGAAGGTGTTTCCATAAATTTTATGTTATTTACGAAAATATCAGGTTTTACTTTTTATACACTTAATGCTCAAAATATACGATTTATTGAACATTTTACAGGGCTATTTATGAACATTTTGATATTTTTAATTTTAAAGAATCCAAGATTTTATAGAAAATAAGGCAATAATAGTATATTATATATCAAGTTTGATAAACGCCATTTTAATCTCGAGCGAGTCTTTAATTATATGAGTGTCTAAAAAAGTTTATAAACGAGTTGCAAACTATACTTTTTTACGACAAGTACTTAATATCTAAACATGATTTAAGTTAAATATTTGTTTAGAGCGACATCTATAAAACAATAGAGTAACCATTCTAACTTCAAGTTAATAACTTGTGAATCTGCATTAGCGGCGCGCCGGTCAAAAGGTCAAATTTTTTGTAAAATCGAAATGTATTCCTTGAAAATGGACTAAACACCGGTTACATTCGATGTAGAAGCAGTTTTTCACAGTAAAAGTCAAGATAATGTCTTATGGGCACTCTACAGTGCGTTGAGAAACAATTTAATACTTCCATTTGTGTATTAAGATAATAAAATAACTTTTACATTTAGTATTATTTGACAAGAAACTTTCTTGAAAAAAGGAACTTAATTTTAACGATTGTATGACATTTGACAACTGTCAACTAACTTAAAACTAACTTTAGCCCATGACTAAGAAATATATTTTTTTAAATAACGGAAACCCTGTATACATAAATATATGGAATATATTAAGTACAAATGTAAAACATCAGGGAATTTTCAAGGGTTGACTTAATCCTACATTAACATTATTATAAGGCTTAAGGCTTTCTTAAGTAAGTTTAACAATCTGAAAGTACGCCATTATGTTTTTCAATTATATTGAGGAAAATTCGTCTCAAACTTTTTCAAACTTGGAAGTCGAAGAATTATTTTCTTAGAGTAAAAAAACGGGAAATGTAGACGGCAAACTTTAAAAGAGTTAATTATAAAACTGCAAGTAAGGAGGCAATTTACGATGAGTCGCGATATTAACCCTTATTGATTTTGCTTTACCTACATATAGGCTAACCTACTTTTATAAGGGCTCTACAATTAATAAAATCTTATCAAAAAAACACATGTATTTATTTCTCATTAGTTCTTGTTTTCTGTTTTTGTTTGTTATATACCGCTTAAAATCTATTGTTACATTTTCTTTTGTATTTTTCCCTCCTGAAAGAAATTACAACAATAGAACACTAAAAAATGGTAAAATATTATGTAAATTAATTAATTGTGAAAAATCAATGCGTATCAGCGATTGTATTAATACATTAAGCTTTATATTTGTGCTACAACATAAAACTACCCCCTCGTATACCAACGGAAACTAAAAATAACGATTTTAGACCCATCCAATCCAGGTGTATGTATCTTGCATCCAATCGAAAATCGCCCCTTGTTGTTAGGCAACTTTTCAACTTTGTTGTAATCTGAGTTGCGTAAAGTTTAATGATGAATGTCATATTTAAATTGTTTATAATGTGGTAGTATATATTTGTTATTATCGATTATAAATTATATTTTGAATTAATTAAATAAATTAATAACTAACTTCGTTTTCTACCGTTCTTTGATTGTTGTTCTTGGGTTGGTATTAAGGAGCTGTCAACAATCTGTGACATTTGTGTTGCGGAAGAAGAAGAACAATCACAATTAAAAACTTTTTTATTTATATATTACACAAAAACTAATAAATATTATGAATGGGAAACGTTCCTATTTGGTTCCTAAAAGTACAAGCAGCAAATATAATGGTAAACTTAAAGATATATTGTCTTCGACTAGGCATAAATCAGAAGGAAAATACATTGAGCACGAAAACAATTTAGCTAATATACCAATAATAAAACAAACTGAAAATGCTAGGTTGTTAACTAAGTACACTGCAGGTGAGTTATTAAGTGTTATTTGTGTTATCGTGTGTAATAATGATAATGTTTGTAGTTCTGGCAAGATCTGCTGAGGATGGTGTAAATATGGATGATTTGGATCAATTACAGCACGATTTAGAGAAATTATTATCAACAAGTGTGTCAAGAAGTAGATTTCTTACATCTGAGATTGAATCGATTGATAAAGTCGAGGAAAACAGAGACAAAAAGGAGAAAAACTATGATAAGGTTTGTGTTCTTTTTAATATAATATATAAGATTGTTAATGTTGTTATTTTTAGACTCCCTTAAAACGAAAACGACCTGACGACAAGCCAAAGTACAAAGACTTCAAGAATGGAGCCAGAGTCATAAAGAAACAATACGGTTTACCAGTAAATAATTTGCTGGGCGATGCACATTTACAAAATGAAGTTCCAAAAGTTGCACTTCCTAAAAACGACAATTCTGACAAATTCTGGGCCTCCATCGAACCCTACTGTGCCAATGTATCCAAAGAAGATGTCACTGTATGATTTTTCTTACAATTTATGTTGTCTCTATTACAGTTGTATTGTTTTTAGTTCATAGAAAGCCTTCTGGAAGAATTTTCCAAGGAAATTGATATAAAAATACCGGAAATGGGCGACCATTATGCGCATGAATGGTCAGAAGAGTTACTTTCAGATGAACAAGGTTTAGGAAGATCACCCAAATCGAAGTCGGGACAAAACTCAGACATCAAAAAGAATGGACTTTCAGCGTAAGTTTTTCTGAAAAATATAATATATTTTATTACACCTCCATATTGTATTATTATATTGAAGGTTGGTGGAGACAATAACCAGTCAGCACACACAAAAGCTCCTAGCAGCTCTGAAAGAGGAGAAACCTCTATCACAGTTCCCAAACATGGAAAAATTAAAAGCTGATTTAAGCCTTAAAAGTAATGGGCCAAGAGTGGGGGTGTGCATGGATAGTAAGCTTGAGCAAACCATATTAAATCTAGAGGAAGTACCAAAGAATACAGAAAACGATGAAATTCTAGCAGAAATAAGAAAATGTCAGCAAGAATTAAAAACTATAAATGAATACAACTTGGAGGAGCTGAAAAAGTTGAAAACCGTCGTGGAAAATGATTTGCAAAAGCAACAAGTCAAAGAAGAGTTGGAGAAAATTGATAATCAAGTTTTGGATTTGTACAACAAGGTTCTCATAGCTAAAAAACAAGCTCAACAAGCCGAAGGAGATGAATACGATAAAAATCTTTTCATGCAGCAACTTGCTAATGACTTTGAGGCGCAAGCCGATGATATTTTAAAGCAACAAAATATGCTACACACTTGGGCATACCCTGAGTCCAATGCCGAAACGCCAAATAACGATCAATATTTTGTAGATGTGAATGTTTAGAATAACTTGAAATTGTCAACATATCTGTCAATATACTAGGCGAATTTTCATTACATAAATTCATAAACAAACTGTATATTATTTTAAAGAAATACAAATAGTCGCAGTATATTAAGAGATATGTCTGTAAAATATTATTTTAAACCACTCTGTATATGTATAAATAATAGTGAATAATAATTATTGTTAGTATTCAGGGTATACTTTCAAGTACAAATATCAGGATGAATTTGTGCTTTTTTTAACTACACAATTATTTTGGCTTTTTAATTTGAGACTGAATTTCTTATTTTTTTGCGAAATTATTATTAATTAATTTTTACATTATTATGTAGTGGTAATTTTATCCAGAGGTTTTGTTAGTTTAAGATATACTTAATTAAGATAAATTTATTTATAATGTTAATTATAATAAATTAATATTTTTAGAAACACTGTTTTTTTTTAAATAAAAGATTTTTCTTGCCACAATTATTTTTAGTTTAAATAACTTGACCAGGCTGTGTTTTCTATCCTTTCATATAAATAAATATGTAATAGTCAGAGATATATCTATATCTCTGGTAATAGTCTTAAATCATTAAAATAATGAAAATTAAATTAATTTAAATACCAATATTACTTATCAATAATAGTATATTATGTATAAAGTTTGATAAACGACATTTTAGACACGAATGTCTAGAAAAGTTTATAAACGAGTTGCATACTATACTTTTTCTACAACAAGAATTTAATATTATTTAAAAAATGATTTAAATTAAATATTTTTATAAAGTATGAGGCGCCGTTTGTGTCAAAATTAAAAGTGCTAAATAAACTTATTTTGTTTTATAAATAATTAATTATATGCTTTATAAAATTATTATTACTTTTGATTCGCAGAAAATTATTTTATAAAAAAATAATTTTATAAAAAATAAATAATTTTATAAAAAATAAATAATTTTATAAAAAAAATTATTTTATAAAGAAATAATTTTATAAAAAAAAAATATTTTATAAAAAAATAATTTTATAAAAAAAAATTATTTTATAAAAGACGACGGGCGCATTTATAAATTAATTTTTACAGCAGCCACCTCTCTTTGTTTGTAGACACTCGAGTAAACCCGAGTGAACCCGAACGCCCTTCCCCAGATACAATTTTATGACGGACTCTCGGCTTTTGTTTGACGCAATTTGGGGAAACGATTGAAAATAATAATTTATTATTTTTATTAATTGATTAATAAATTTTTTTATCTACATTTATTTTGATTTTTAGGTTTTAACAAGAATTCTTTATGTTTAAACGTTTTTTATAAGAAAGCAAAACTAATAATGCAAAACAAATAATGATTTACAACTTTATCTAATAATTAACTGTTAAAATTGATTACCTTACATTTTAAATATGTAAATTTTTAAAAGTAAATGAACAAAAACCTTTAATTCGACACCTGAGTCCCCGGGACTCGCATGCGAATTTTGTTGGCGCCTAAAGCCTAATTTAAAGATTGCCTTCCTCCTTTCTCCCTTCCTCCCGTAAAAGATGAACAATACGATCACCGTAGTGCTGTTTATAGAGTTTAACAATTAATTATTAGTTAAAGGTGTAAATCATTATTTGTTTTGCATTTAACTAGAAGTGCTTTCTTATAAAAAACGCATATACCTATAATTATAGGTATATGAAAAAACGTTTAAACATAAAGAATTCTTGTTAAAAACTAAAAATCAAAATAAATGTAGATGAAAAAATTAATTAATTAATTAATAAAAATAATAAATTATTATTTTCAATCGTTTCCCCAAATTGCGTTAAACAAAAGCCCAGTCCGTCATAAAATTGTATCTCGGGTTTACTCGAGTGTCTACAAACAAATAGAGATGGCTGCAGTAAAAATTAATTTATAAATGCACCCGTCGTCTTTTATAAAATAATTTTTTTTTATAAAATTATTTTTTTTATAAAATAATTTTTTTTATAAAATAATTTTTTTATAAAATTATTTCTTTATAAAATATTTTTTTTTTATAAAATTATTTTTTTATAAAATAATTTTTTTATAAAATAATTTTTATTTATAAAATTATTTTTTTATAAAATAATTTTTTTTATAAAATTATTTTTTTATAAAATAATTTTTTTTATAAAATTATTTTTTTATAAAATTATTTTTTTTTATAAAATAATTTTTTTTATAAAATAATTTTTTTATAAAATAATTTTTATTTATAAAATTATTTTTTTATAAAAAAATTATTTTATAAAAAAATAATTTTATAAAAAAAATTATTTTATAAAAAAATAATTTTATAAATAAAAATTATTTTATAAAAAAATTATTTTATAAAAAAATTATTTTATAAAAAAATAATTTTATAAAAAAAAATTATTTTATAAAGAAATAATTTTATAAAAAAAATAATTTTATAAAAAAAATTATTTTATAAAAAAAATTATTTTATAAAAAAAAAGTATTTTATAAAAAAAAATTATTTTATAAAAAAATAATATTTTATAAAAAAAAATTATTTTATAAAAAAATAATTTTATAAAAAAAAATTATTTTATAAAAGACGACGGGTGCATTTATAAATTAATTTTTACAGCAGCTATCTCTCTTTGTAGACACTCGAGTAAACCCGAGTGAACCCGAACGCCCCTTCCCAGATACAATTTTATGACGGACTGGGCTTTTGTTTAACACAATTTGGGGAAATATGAGGCGCCGTTTGTGTCAAAATTAAAAGTGCTAAATAAACTTATTTTGTTTTATAAATAATTAATTATATGCTTTATAAAATTATTATTACTTTTGATTCGCAGAAAATTATTTTATAAAAAAATAATTTTATAAAAAAAAGTTATTTTATAAAAAAATTATTCTATAAAGAAATAATTTTATAAAAAAAAATTATTTTATAAAAAAAAAATTATTTTATAAAAAAATTATTTTATAAAAAAAAATTATTTTATAAAAAAAAAATATTTTATAATTTTATAATTTTATATAATAATTTTTTTTTAAAAAAATTATTTTATAAAAAAATTATTTTATAAAAAAAAATTATTTTATAAAAGACGACGGGCGCATTTATAAATTAATTTTTACAGCAGCCACCTCTCTTTGTTTGAAGACACTCGAGTAAACCCGAGTGAACCCGAACGCCCTTCCCCAGATACAATTTTATGACGGACTCTCGGCTTTTGTTTGACGCAATTTGGGGAAACGATTGAAAATAATAATTAATTATTTTTATTAATTGATTAGTTAATTTTTTTTATCTACATGTATTTTGATTTTTAGTTTTTAACAAGAATTCTTTATGTTTAAACGTTTTTTATAAGAAAGCACTTTTAGTTAAATGCAAAACAAATAATGATTTACACCTTTATCTAATAATTAACTGTTAAAATTGATTACCTTACATTTTAAATATCTAAATTTTTAAAAGTAAATTAACTTAACCTTTAATTCGACACCTGAGTCCCCGGGACTCGCATGCGAATTTTGTTGGCGCCTAAAGCCTAATTTAAAGATTGCCTTCCTCCTTTCTCCCTTCCTCCCGTAAAAGATGAACAATACGATCACCGTAGTGCTGTTTATAGATTTTAACAGTTAATTATTAGTTAAAGGTGTAAATCATTATTTGTTTTGCATTTAACTAGAAGTGCTTTCTTATAAAAAACGCATATACCTATAATTATAGGTATATGAAAAAACGTTTAAACATAAAGAATTCTTGTTAAAAACTAAAAATCAAAATAAATGTAGATGAAAAAATTAATTAATTAATTAATTAATAAAAATAATAAATTATTATTTTCAATCGTTTCCCCAAATTGCGTTAAACAAAAGCCCAGTCCGTCATAAAATTGTATCTGGGAAGGGGCGTTCGGGTTCACTCGGGTTTACTCGAGTGTCTACAAACAAATAGAGATGGCTGCAGTAAAAATTAATTTATAAATGCACCCGTCGTCTTTTATAAAATAATTTTTTTTTATAAAATTATTTTTTTATAAAATAATTTTTTTTATAAAATAATTTTTTTTATAAAATTATTTCTCTATAAAATAATTTTTTTTTATAAAATTATTTTTTTTTATAAAATAATTTTTTTTTATAAAATATTTTTTTTTTATAAAATTATTTCTTTATAAAATATTTTTTTTTTATAAAATTATTTTTTTATAAAATAATTTTTTTTTATAAAATTATTTCTTTATAAAATTATTTTTTTATAAAATAATTTTTATTTATAAAATATTTTTTTTATAAAATAATTTTTTTTTATAAAATTATTTTTTTATAAAATTATTTTTTTATAAAATAATTTTTTTTATAAAATTATTTCTTTATAAAATTATTTTTTTATAAAATTATTTTTTTATAAAATAATTTTTATTTATAAAATTATTTTTTTATAAAATTATTTCTTTATAAAATTATTTTTTTATAAAAAAATTTCTTTATAAAATTATTTTTTTATAAAATTATTTTTTTATAAAATAATTTTTATTTATAAAATTATTTTTTTATAAAATTATTTCTTTATAAAATTATTTTTTTATAAAAAAAATTTTTTATAAAATTATTTCTTTATAAAATAATTTTTTTATAAAATAATTTTTATTTATAAAATTAACGATCGTTTGAAAATAATAATTTATTATTTTTATTAATTAATTAATTAATTAATTTTTTCATCTACATTTATTTTGATTTTTAGTTTTTAACAAGAATTCTTTATGTTTAAACGTTTTTTCATATACCTATAATTATAGGTATATGCGTTTTTTATAAGAAAGCACTTCTAGTTAAATGCAAAACAAATAATGATTTACACCTTTAACTAATAATTAACTGTTAAAATCTATAAACAGCCCTACGGTGATCGTATTGTTCATCTTTTACGGGAGGAAGGGAGAAAGGAGGAATGCAATCTTTAAATTAGGCTTTAGGCGCCAACAAAATTCGCATGCAAGTCCCGGGGACTCAGGTGTCGAATTAAAGGTTAAGTTAATTTACTTTTAAAAATTTAGATATTTAAAATGTAAGGTAATCAATTTTAAAAGTTAATTATTAGATAAAGGTGTAAATCATTATTTGTTTTGCATTTAACTAAAAGTGCTTTCTTATAAAAAACGTTTAAACATAAAGAATTCTTGTTAAAAACTAAAAATCAAAATAAATGTAGATAAAAAAATTAATTAATTAATTAATAAAAATAATAAATTATTATTTTCAATCGTTTCCCCAAATTGCGTCAAACAAAAGCCGAGAGTCCGTCATAAAATTGTATCTGGGGAAGGGCGTTCGGGTTCACTCGGGTTTACTCGAGTGTCTACAAACAAAGAGAGGTGG